CCAGGGGGGCAGGGATTATGAAATTAACAACTTTTGTTCTCCTTTACCCATATATGCTTTGTGCCAAATTTGTTCAGCAGTTGCAGAGAAGAAGCTGAAAATGCTCAAATGTTAACGCACAACGCACGACGCACGACGACGGACGAAAACGGATCGCAATAGCTAAAAATGTAAATATTATATGTAATTTTATTATACTGCATTTTCAATATGATTTCTTTTTCGTATTATTCTATAGCTAATCGTCTGCAATAATTCTAGTTTAACAAATAAGAAATAATAGTAATGACTGTTTAAAGGCACTTGAAGTTACATATTTTTCTTATCTCATATGTTATATATAAAATAACGCTTAATATTAGTTGATAGGAATTATTTGAAGTTTGGCGTATCTGGTCGCGGTGACATATGACAAATTTGGGAGCAGCCGCCGGGTCGTCTCCCAAACAATCAATATCAAATGTGGCGACCCCAAATGGGCTAAATATTGTGCACTGGGTAAGTTTCGCGAATGCACAACGCCACGCAAAATGGATACAATGGGCCAATATCCCATTTAAATAGTATCCATGTCAAATGGATGGGCCAATGTCCCATCAAAAATGTAAAATCAATACAATATGATACAATGGGCCAATATCCCATTAACAATGTAAGCAATGTGAAATACAATATTGTTCAATGGTCGAATATCCCATTAACATATCCAGGTACTAAAAATGTTGAGATTTGCTTTATCAATGTTTAAAATAAAAGTAAATGCGCAAATAGCGCCACAGATGCGCAAATAGCGCCACAAATGCACAAATAGTGCCACAAATGCACAAATAGTGCCACAAATGCGCAAATAGCGCCACAAGATGTTATACGATGTTTAAAATCAAAGTAAATGCGCAAATAGCGCCACAATATGTCATACGAGTTAACAACAGCACTCGTTCATGTGAGGTGGGGTTGACGATAACGAACTAACATCATCTTCATGGCACAATCCTGATAGAAAGACATCTGTAGCTGCACCGCGACGTTGACGGATGACGGCTGTGTTACGTACGTCTCAAGTTTCCTGAAATATATAATGCAAAAACACGGCAGTATCATGATAACAAAAACACACATATAATTTTCAACAGTGAACTGCATAAGAATGCGGTGGGAGGGTGTGTTTTTTTTAAATATCGATCCAAAATTCAAATGATTGTATCGCCTGAACCAACCTACCCATGTGCTCGTCTGCTTACTTAGAAAGGAGGAAATTACGTCACGTACCAAGTATATATAGTCACTGTGGCATTTCTAACAAAAAAAAAACTGGTATGCAAAACCCGGATTATTCCGCGAAGCACATACTCAATCTAAAATGGGCAATGCACATGTATCACTGAGATAAAATCCCATATTCCTTAACGTTGCTTGAATATCGGTTATTATCTCAGATGTTATATATAAAATAACGCTTAATATTAGTTGATAGGAATTATTTGAAGTTCGGCGTATCTGGTCGCGGTGACATATGACAAATTTGGGAGGGGCCGCCGGGTCGTCTCCCCAACAATCAATATCAAATGTGGCGACCCCAAATGGGCTAAATATTGTGCCCTGGGTAAATTTCGCGAATGCACAACGCCACGCAAAATGGATACAATGGGCCAATATCCCATTTAAATAGTATCCATGTCAAATGGATGGGCCAATGTCCCATCAAAAATGTAAAATCAATACAATATGATACAATGGGCCAATATCCCATTAACAATGTAAGCAATGTGAAATACAATATTGTTCAATGGTCGAATATCCCATTAACATATCCAGGTACCAAAAATGTTGAGATTTGCTTTATCAATGTTTAAAATAAAAGTAAATGCGCAAATAGCGCCACAGATGCGCAAATAGCGCCACAAATGCACAAATAGTGCCACAAATGCGCAAATAGCGCCACAAGATGTTATACAATGTTAAAAATCAAAGTAAATGCGCAAATAGCGCCACAATATGTCATACGAGTTAACAACAGCACTCATTCATGTGAGGTGGGGTAGCGATAACGCCACATGATCGTAAGAGCATCCGCCACCAATGACTGTCACACAAATTGGTGACGGGTCGTCATTCCCCACCTCTGTCACCACTAACCAGCGCCATTTATAGTTAAGTTTATTTTTGCCCTAATTATTTAAGTAGCTATGGTCATGATAAAGGTACCCCTTTTTACTTACCTTATTAATACTTTCCTTATTTACGGAAAAACACAGCAATTATTCGAACTTAAAGACAGCCAAATGATTTTGACCAAAAACATTGTGTGTTGCCTGCTATTGAATCGAGGCATGATGCTGGGATTAGATGGATAAATTTACTTAAGCGACAGACTTGATAATCATAATGTGACAGTATATTACATATTTTCAAGGATAGGCAGTTGGACATTATATCCACAACTTTTTCTACCTAACATAATTTGCAAGATCTGTGAACTATTCTATTGCGGTGTTTGTGCACGATATTGATTCTTGTTCGAGGATGCTGAAAAGGACATATAGGGGGGGGGGGGGTTAAAATGTACAACTGATAAGAATCACACATTTTCAAATTTAAAATTGTGGAATTATTTGTAAATGTACGACTTGCACAACCGTTAGCAACCAAGTACAAAGAGTTTAAAAACAACTTCGGATTACAGGACATACATAACAATGGATTAGTAAAGGGAATATATAATATGACTGTTTTTCTCGTTTTCTCGACTTTTACAGGGCAATAGAGGGAAAGTTATACTGCAGTGGTAATAAGTTAATTCAGTGACATAATCTGACATTTAAACAAGTCTTGTTTGTACCTACAAATAAATTTGTCGTAATCTAACATCTAATTTGTATGTATGCTTGAACACAACGAGAGATGTGGGTAGTGAGAGCACTTGTATTAAGAAATTACATTAAACTGTTCTCAGCATGTGAGCACCACAGGCCGTGGGCCTGTATGGTATATCTTCTCCAGGGAACATATGTACATTATATGTATGAAGAACTAATTAATGCCTCATTTTAAACGATGAAATAAAATTATGCTTATTGATTAAACATTAGAAATCATATGATTTGAATGCTAAAGAGGGATTGATAATTAGTACCGATAATGACGGGCTTATTGAGCCTGAGTGATGATATTATACCTATTTAAGATCATGGAAATAGGTGTTTCCTTTTCTGGTAGATTTTCCATTCCCATCAAGACTCTTAGACTTAAAGAAGAAAATACCGGGTATAAAACTTGACCGATGTTTAAGTTGCCCTTAAATAGGGTAGTTCCCAGACTGCACATATAAAGTCCCCAAATCCCTGTGTACTCTTTTCTCATCATCGGTTATAAAGTTTAATATATAATCGTTCAAGTAACTTCTTACCCTTTGTCCTAAAAGACGGCTACAGGTAGAGGCAATTGACATGAATGCTACCACACTAATTAGACAGAGACAGTTAATTGCTAAAGGGATAATGTGATCTGCTCATGTGATATTGGCAACCCTAAGTTAATTATTTTTTAAATATCGATCCAAAATTGAAATGATTGTATCGCCTGAACCAACCTACCCATGTGCTCGTCTGCTTACTTAGAAAGGAGGATATTACGTCACGTACCAAGTATATATAGTCACTGTGGCATTTCTAACAAAAAAAAAAATTGGTATGCACAACCCGGATTATTCCCCGAAGCACATACTCAATCTAAAATGGGCAATGCACATGTATCACTGAGATAAAATCCCATATTCCTTGACGTTGCTTGAATATGGGTTAATATAAAAGAAACGATAACCTCCTAACTGACAATTTAAGTGTGACACGCCTTTTACTTGCACTGTCCTCGAAAGACTGATCATAAAAATTCGATTGCATAGAATATATTTTAGGGAAATTCAGACAAAAATTCAGGTTGTTATGACCGACCTACTAATAATCAAAATGGCGTCGATGTGTACCCTTCGAATTATTAATTAAGAGGTTATATTTAAAAAGGGGGGGGGGGCACATAAAGTGGCTGTTTTAATGTCGATGCATAAAAAGTGAAAAAAGGAGATTCTCTGATTGATAAAGAATACAGAGTTAATATTCCTGGCTTGATATTGGTATCGTATGAATGATTGTAGAATATATCAAAGTAAACACTTCGCAGCTAGTTTGTTGAATAAGTCTTTCATTGAATGCTCAATAGCCCCATTCCTGCTTTTTGTTACAGAGTGACCGGTGGTCCCGGTACTTTGGTCCAGACTCAGTCCAATGTATCTCCAATGAATTCCCCTCAACTGACCCTTAAAATTCCAGGACACCATTTTTCCGCCACCACGATCAATCTATACTATAAAAAAAACATGCACAACTTGTTAATTATGGCGGTATTTGTCTGCCATAACTTATTGGAAAATAAGTTATATAGACTTGTCAGATGATTATGTTGACTTGTCATATACAGTGTATTTATGAAATCATACGAGATCATGTTAAACAGTATCTCTATGTCAATTTGTCCGATAATAATTACAAGGACTAAGAACTCAATTGATTGATTGATTGTATACTGTTTAACGTCCCTCTCCAGAATATTATACTGTTAGGGAGACGTCACCATTGCGGTGAAGGGCTGCAATTTTAGGCCTATGTTTGGCACTTAGGCCTTTGAGCAGGGAGGGATCTTTATCGTGCCACACCTGCTGTGACATGGGGCCTTGGTTTTTACGGTCTCATCCGATGGACCCCCCCCATTAAGTCGCCTTTTACGACAAGCAAAGGAGTACTGAGGACCTATTCTAACCCGGATCCCTAAGAACTCGATGTCTGGCAATGAAAGAGTGAGAAAGCCACTAGATGACACTTACAGATATTTACCTGTTATCATACATGTAATATATGATAAATAAACATGCATGTACGTTTCAAACAAGTAAAGATATGCCACTGTTTAGTCTAAAGTTTTCAAGAAACCTTGTTTAATATAGAAAATGTGCTTCACCAGATGTCCCCAGTAGTTCAGCCATGCCAGAAGCAACAGACATGAGGCTGCTTAATTTGTCCATTATTATTTTCACGAATACCAATATATCTATCTTAAAAAAAGAGAGAACTTATAATGAGGAATTGATGATTATTTTTTTTCAAAGACTAGTGATATGTTTCATGGCATTTCATGTGTATTCTCTTGAAAAAAAAGGGAACCTTAGTAGAATTCGATAAGCAATTTCTTTGATAAATATTGTAGAGTAACACCACACCCCCCCCCCCTTCTTGTTTTCAAGGTTTAAAGAAGTCCAGGAAGAAATGTTTTTTTTAATTATCCATCCTCGAAGCCATTTCCGCATACTCCATGCAAACCAATGTTTTTTGTCTTTAAATACGAAAATTTGACCTTAGGTATATATGTGATTTCACAGTGTTTTTTATCTTCAGCCTACTGATATGCTAATTACTACAATTATGTATTTTGAAAAACGTCTTCACTTTTCGTTAATTGCTTTTTCTTTTGAGAATATGACACAAAAATATTAACTTTACATTACAATTTAGATTTCGTATATTTTTACTCTATTAAAAATGAAAACACAATTATAATATTTTGTCTACTTAAAACTCATTTTGAAAATATTATAAAAATCAAACGTTCAATTAAATGTTTTTTGTTGTTCTATTCTATTTCATTTGAATTCTCTATTTCCAAAAAAAAAAATATTTTATATAGGATAGAAACTTTGATTTAGAAAAAATGGCCAGCAAAATCAGCACATTCATTAATGAATAAATGAATATATGTTGTAGTATTCAACACGATGGTTTTGTGAAACACTTATGTCCCCGTCTGAAAACTCATGACAAAGGTCAAATTTAAAGTTTCCAAATTGCAAATAAAACCCCGAGGTCAAGGTTAAGAGATAAAAAAATCAATGCAGGGTCTTGTAACATTGAATAACCTTGAAATTTGAAAGACCTTGCACCAACAACTCCATATTCATGGCCAAGGTAAGTTGTTTCAAAAGTAGATAAAATGCTTAGCTCAATAAAAAAGGTCAAATTCAAAAGAAAGGCTTGGTAAAGATATAAAAGACATATCTCTTACGGTCGCAACGTTTTGATCAAGATAAAAAATGATAGATGTGTGTAGAATTAATGAGCAAATTCGAAAATAAAAAAGGCCGTCAAATATGTTACTTATGGGGGGAAGGTCATGTCACAAGGAATACTTGGTTTGACAATGTACGCCAGTGCTTCTATTAATATTTTTCTGCAAACAAACTTATAAAAGACAAAGAGACAGAGCAAAATGTACATGCATATATACTTTGTTCGAATATACTTTTACCGGGAACATTAAAACAGACTTTCTTTTATGCAAAACAACGCATATATTGACACATTGAGATAACTATTTTGGTAAGAAACGTACTATTTTATACATACACGGTTTTGAATATATTTGATAGATTTTGTCACATTTGTACAATTATAAGATAATAATCGCTAATGGTGAAAATTCACTTCAAGGATTGTTTTTTTCTTCTCCTTGACAAAGTTAGTACAATTAAAAAAAATTAAATCGATCTAGAATTAAAATATCTTTGAATTCGTGTTTATCCCTCAGTTGTCAAACACATTGAAAGAATTGTTACAATAAATTTTCAAATTATACATTCAACTCGGTGTTTTAAACAATGTTCAATCCATCTTAAAATAAAGGAAAAGAATAGACATAATTTCTTATTTACCTTAGTCCTTTGTAAGCAATGGCGTTTCTTTGTTTTGATAAATATGGATGCTTTCACTTCCACAGGCCAGGTCTCCTTTAACATGTATAAGTCTGTGATTTTATATGATGTTTACATAATACATGTATAGAACGCAGCTTTCTGTTTCGATTGCCTCATGAGGTTATTCCACATTCTAAAAATAAAATTACTATTTTTGGGTACATAAGGTATAAAAATTTGAATAGCACTTTATTATGTATATGATTCATGTTAAAATGCAAGTATGATGTTTTAAACCAAACAAAAATATACAAAATTAAATTCACATTTACCCATTTAAGATCTTGGTAGTCTCAGGATCTTATATTCAATGGCGATATAAGACTTTATTACAGTGCCCGTGTAACAATTCAAAGGAATTTTCAATTTTTACTACACTTCAGTGCCCGTTAATTCTTATTCATCATTTTTTGTAGGGCAGATAAGAAATGAAAATACAGAATCTCTTTCTTAATGTTACTATTCCTTTTGACTGTTAACAAAGAATGCATACCTAAACAAATCACAATTAAACAAATTAAGGTATATATTTTTAAATCTTGAACATTAAGAGTCATTCTCTGTAAAAACCAAAGAATCCAAGGAGGCCGTAAAAACGAATGTCTCCGAAATACGTAATTTTTTGTATTTAGAGTGTACTCAGGTGTCTAACTGAGAAAACCACCTTAGTTCATGTTTCGGGGTGTCCGTTGCCATGGCAACCGTAACTAACACAAATATGGCCATTTTGACAGGTTCAATTTCATGAAATATAGCATTTTTAACCCCGATATTTCCTTTAAACACGAAAAATATTACCACTTTCAATTATATAATTTATTTTATGCATTCTTATATAATTAAAATAATTAAGAATTAAATCTTTTGCCTGAGGCGTTTCAAGCTGATAGAAGGCTAAAAATATCAAATTTCATGATTTTTTCAAAATGCAGAAAAATCCATTTTACCCTCTATTTCAATTACATTTATCTTTAAATTCCAAGATAGGTTTTTTAAACTTCTTGTTTATTCCAAATATCTATACTATAGTCTTTCATTTCATATAGATTCCAAACATGTGTTTTTCAGATAACTCGGGAAATATCAAAATGAAAATAACCCATAATCCCGAATTTCCTCAGATATGGATTGGAAAACTGCGTTATACATTGTATATGGTATATTTTGTAGAGTTTGTTTTTCTCTTTTGAGGAAATTGTTTATGTAAAACAACCTTAACAGAGAATTAAATGATAAAAATGAATGAAAATGTATGATTTTAGGGGCGGATAGCAACATAGCAGTGGTTAACAGGGCTCATGGGATTTTTTTTCATTTCATGTTTTTATCGGTTCAAAATCACTTTTGTGGCTAAATTTTAACAATACTGACGTGTATATTAATCATGCTACTAATCAATTCTTTAAATGAAATTTAGATATATTTAAGATATAAAAGTAATACACAGATATTTCATTTTACCCCCCCCCCTTTTTTTTAATGAGGAAAAGGCTGGGGATTAATGACACCTGTTCTATGACTCAAATTTTATCTTCTTCAGCTATTAAACGTATTTGTTACAAATTTAGCTGAAAAAAAGAGTCGATGAAAAGTTAATTTATTAACTCTATCACAACGTAAGGCTAAGGTCAAGAGTTCAAAGTTAACTGAAGAATATATAATATACATGTAGTATAATTGCTTCTCCACATTTTCAGGAATTGACTGGATGACCTTAAGTCAGGATTTCTATAAAGTACAACATGTTTAATCCAAAATGGTTTAAATGGACTAAATAAACAATTGATAACTGAAAATAAATCTGAAAATTAAAAGATTATTATTTATTATTATTTTTTCAAAGAAAATATAAAAGATTATGGTGTGCAGAGAAAGTTCGGGCTAATTATTTTTTTTTAAATAACTTTTTCAATTATCAATTTATATTAAAGCTCAAACATTATTTCATATACTTGTAATTGATTGATACACAATGAAGAATTTCAAAAATATGTATGTATACTGTTGAACACAAACCATTCACAGCAACATATCTAAATAATTTGATTATTGAGCTCATAAAATTATAATACCAGCAGAATAAGGACAACAAAAGTAAAATGAGGCCATACATGTAAGTAATAAGAGTTCCTGTCATTCAGATTTTCAACTTGATTGCAGGCTCGTAAGAGGCAATTTCAGTTGGAAGAGGGGGGGGGGGGGGCACAACCATACATTCTCAGTGAAAACTACCAAAAATTTCTAGAAAGCAAAATATGGACAAAAGATCATTAGACGTATTTTCTGAGGGGGCACAAGCATAGAGTAGCTATGTTTATTATAGAATTCTATATATTGGCAAAATATTAGGGGGGGGGGGGGGGGGGGGGGGGGGGTCAAATGTTGGTCATATTGTGAAAAATAATTATATATTTTCTATGAAATACCCAAGAGCCATTAGCAGGAATAGTAGGGCAATGACATATTTAAGTGAATAATTACATAGATGTACAATAGGTGGTTTTTCACTTTTATCAGTTAATATTTTTGTCATCCAAGTAAACGTTATCCTTAAGCCTTGAAAATAATAATAGACACTTTTGACATAGATTTCTTTAATTTTTTTGTCAATTTTATAAAAATTCAATAATTGTAACAAAGGATGGAATTATCATTTTACATGCAATAAGACTACTGTTTATACACTTTTTATCTTTTATTTAAGAATGTACATTATTAAATTCTTTTTCTTTTAATTATTTGAAGCATATTCATAGTAGTGCATAGTGGACCCATGTTATTATGCATGAATAACTTCAGGATAAGTGGTCAAAACTTCCCTCAGGTATAATACTAGGCAAGACTAGGATTTTCTTCAGATACTGTAAGACTTCACTATTTCTTTGATGTTCTTTGGGAATAACAGCAATGTTTGTCATTATATTGTTGTAGTATAATTTAGCAGGCTTAGTGAAGGTGTCCCGACGGTATCTCCCATTCTCTGAAAACTCTCACTAATTTTCATCAGATACTCATTCATTTGCTGAATGTCATGACTGGTCATGACTAAATGTAAAACTCTGGCTTCTTGAGTTCTGTAATAGACAATACAAGTATTTAGATTTACCAGGTAGATAATACAAGACTTAAGTTAACCAGAAATCTCTGTCAAGACTGTAGCTCTACTGGTTTGTACTTATAATAAAGAAAGAGAAAACTAGCAGTTGGGACATTTACAAAAGCAATCAATAGAATAATGACAAAAACAGATACACAGAATTATTTATCTTATTGTAGTTTACTTGTGTGCCAAGTTATATTGAAATCAGACCAAAACTGTAGGAGGAGTAGCATTTTGAAAAACTGTTTACAGACGGACAGACATACAGACAGACAAACAGACGACGGACACATTACTATCGCATAAGCTCTTCTGGTCTTTGACCAGTAGAGCTAAAAATGATTAAAGGAACCAATTGGATCATGAAAACAGTTACACTTGTACATGTAATAGGTCATACATCCTCTCTACACCAGTGTAAAATGATTTTTGGACTTTGCGAAAATTATATTGAATAAAGATGTAAATAATAAGCTTCTCTATTTCATTTTCAATACATGATACATGGCATTTAACCCCAGGAAAAAAATGTTCAAACACAACACAGTATCAGTAGAAATAATTGCTATTTACTTCTATGGAGAAGATACATGTAAACAACATGTTTATAATTTAGAATTTAAACTATCTCTAAAAATAGCTGCAGTGGTTTGCCCTTTTAAAATGTTAAGAATACTTGATTTGATTATAAACTGAGTAATATAGTGTAAATGTATATTTATTGGCATTTAAATCTAAGGGCAGATAAATAGAACAGAATCGTAACTCTTTAGTGTTCAGTGTAGAGAGGTTTCTTAAGGAAAATGGTAGAAATTCCTGTCAAAATTTTTGAAAATAACAACTTGGGTCATGTTTTAATGAATAAAATCAATAAGTTTAACAGTGTAGTTTTTTTTAATTTCTTATTCAAAGTTGCACAAAAATTGAATTTGAAGTAAAAAATATTTGTATAGAATAATTAGGATGATTTCAGATGGGTAGAAATTGGAACATCACAGAACGTTTACATGCCTTGAAAAGTGGGTCAATAATAGTAGTTAATGTATATATGGAACATGAAAGCTGTATCCTCTATCCTTCAAAATTTATTACCAATGTCTAATTTCTTGAAAGATATAGAAGTCAAGGCTATTGGGTCAAAATTATAGTACATGGACACTATACCTCTTTATAATTTGGTTTTAATACGATGTTGAAGGCTCCATGAATGATCTAAATATCTTCCCCTTCCTTGTGATGCCCCTCACTTGGTCACACAGCAGCATGCTACAATAAATTGTATATTTTCATAAAAATAATTCAATTCCTTACAGGTACTAATTAAAGCACAATTATATAAGAATGAGTTGTTAATTTTTTTTGCCATTCACCACATATTTAGCGGTACTTTTTATTTAGTTTTGTATGTTGACAGGTCTAAAATAAATAACTGTGTACAATAATTCAATTGGAGAAACTTTTTAATTAATATCTTGTTAAACTTTAAATGCATACATCATTATAGAGTGTTCAAGATAAACAAGGAAAATTAAATTTACAAGGTCAAGTCCAAAGATTATTTCTTATTCTACCCACATAGCTATTAATAGCTACAATGTACATGTATGTAGGTTAAAGCTACCCAAAGTAGCTATTTTACCCACTTCTAAGACCTACATACACATGTAGATAGAAATGCTTTAGTATAGTCTTTGGACTGTACCTTTTTACATTCATTTCGATTTAATTCTTTTTCAATAATTTCATCTACTCATAACTCTACGAACACATATTATTATATTGTGTATCAGAAATTGTAGTTACTTACGTGTACATGCATGGTGTATAACACTGGTAGCGTTGCACCAGCTTGACCAATCAAATGACCTGCTTTCAAATTTTCACATGTTCTGTTTGGAGGGGAATTCTTGGTCCATCTCCTCTGGTATTTTCAATATGCAGGTGTGAACTTAGAAGACTTGGAATTTGACAAAACTTCCTTCTTCACCTCTTTGTATTTTATTTTGAAGAAAAGTTAAAATAACGTCCACATTCGATAGTCGTTCACCATGTTCACTGTATTTACTAAATAATTTTGCAAGTGTAACACATGGCATACGACCTACTTTAGACAATACATGGCCATTGCTAAAACTCACGAGTTGTTGAATGTCTTCAGAATAAACAATATCACATCTGCCAAGGAAGCTATACTGTATAATCTAAGCAGTTTTGTATAAAAATATCAGTAAAACACATCGTTTGTGAAAAGGAACTCCAAACCGGCAAAACGTCATGCTTACAAATACTTTTGTTTTTACCTTCCTTCACTGTCGGAACTAGAGAGTTCTACAAAGGGAGATAATATTTTTGTGAAATGCTAGTTTTTTAAAGTTTTCAAATGCATTTTATTTTTTTAAAGCAAAAAACACACATCCAGAATAATTATGAATAAATAATCAAGTATGTTTGCTTTCAAAATATTGTTAATATTTTATAAACCTATCTTGGGATTTTTTATAAAATGGCACTGAAAGTATGGTTATTTAGCGTGTTGGTTAAGGGTTAAAAATAGGAGGAAATTAAATTTCTTTAAAATAAAAAGGAGTGTTAGTGATGAAGAAAAATAATTTTTTATCTTTACTTCACACCTTGTTTTCACAATTTAATGCACTTAATCCAACCATAGTTCATTACTTATTTTGAATTTTTTATGTCAAATTAGGAGAAAACTGACCTTTTCAAACATGGGGGTAGCCACAAAATGTGTTAGGGGGCCATAACCTGGAGGATAGGTCACATCTCAAAATTTTTAATATACCTAATTAATCTCATACACATTCATAATTTTTTCATATATGTTTTATTAAAATCTGTGGTATTCGTTTGAACGGCATCTGTGGTCCTTACAGAGAATGACTCTTAATGTATAGTATTTACAATAGAGAGGCATATTGTCACAAAGTGCAATAAAATTTGTAGCTCTATCTAACTGCCAATTTAGTGTTTGTTTTTGGTAAACAGACATTTAGATGGACAGATAGCGGGACAGAAAAGATAGACACATAAATATTTTAGTATGCAAGAAAAAAACTATATAAAATAACATTACGCTGCAATCTTATTAAAATTAGCTGTTAGATCCGCTCGTATACTCACTACGTACACTAGTTTAGCGAGTATGCGAGCGGATCTAACATTCTTTAATTTTAATTACATTGCATTAAGCCGCCTACCGACACTATATGGTTAAAACTTTCTAACCGTTAAAAAAAATTACCTATTTTCTGTACCGAAAAATTGAACTCAAATACTGTTTTTATCCAAACTGTATTAAATTCCGTTGGGTGTTTTCCAAATGCTATTTTTAGGTTTTCCGTTCAACTTTCTGAAATGAACTCGTCATTAAAGATCCGCTATTTTGTGAATTCTGTAGTTCCGTTAGGTACTTTCCAAAGGCTATTTTTAGATATCTGGTTTAACTTTATAATAACTAACCCCTTAATTTTTATAATGTTGTAGTTTTGTTAAGCGTTTTCCAAATGATATTTTCTTTATTTTCGATTTAAGTTTATAAAATTTAGTTTCTATTTTTAAATGATTGTCGTCAGTATTTTAATTAGTACATGTAATCCAATAAATAAACTTTATAGATCCTAGTGCTTGGTCAAATTTTAAACTTAATCCCATTGATTTGAAGACTGTCAATGTATTTATCATTTGATAACAATGTTTGTATGTACACCAGAGGCCTTTAAATATTACATAATTTCATCTTGAGCATTTAAGCAGTTCACGTCTTGGTCTTTGCTTTTGAGAAATGGGCATTTACTTGAAGTACGACAGATAAAGATTGTAATACAAACTAGATTTATGATGGATTTTGAGAAATCAAGGAAAATGTTGATCAATGTAATTTACGAAAAAATTACTACAGTGCGTTATCTTCTCTGCCATGCATTTCTGGAGAATTCTCTAAATTAAAAAATGCATGTTTTCCGTAATGTATATATATGTCCGATAAGGCAATTTAGGTAACTTAATTAATATCAGTGCTGTTATATCGGGAGTCTTTAATCCATAGTGGTGAAAAATTGTACCCATTAGCGGCCTTTGGGAATGTGCACAAGATTGAATTTAATTCCATCTCTTTCAAAAGAATATTTATAATAATAAGGCAGCTCTGCACCATTAAAGACTCCGTCTCTCAGTATTCACTCCACTGTAAACTCCAATAGGATTTGAGCACGAAGTCTTATTATGTTTCAATTATTGTTTTGTAATTATATAATATATCATAAATCGTTTTTTTTCCAAACATTTTTTATTATTTTTCTTTAATTTCTGGGATCATTTGTACGCCTTTGTGTGTGAAAGAGATAGCCCAAGGAGGACAACTCCTATAAACCTTGTTACGATATCAAAAAAAAAATCCTTTAAATGTTTCAGAAATTATTTATTTACATCCTGTCAAAACAAAAATACCATCTAAAATATATATTCACATTTTAAACAGAGTCAGACTTAGAATCTTAAAACTATATGAAAAGATTTCAAATAATTCACATGTCCATGCTAGAATAAAGAATTCATATTTAATTTTCATCAAATGAATAATTGTAATGTGTACATGTATGCATATTAACTTAATCGTTCTTACATCTTATTTGAATTATTTACAAATTCCAGAAACACACACAAATACATATTTCTTGAGCATTTACTTGTTGAGTGCTCACCGGGAAAAAGAAGTATAGAAGTAAGTTAAAATTAGCATAAACTTCTGAATGTCTAGTGCCCACGAACTAAAATGCAACAAAATTATATCCAGTCCATGCTCTTAACTAAACTTTGAGCCACATATATATCCTCATGAAATGTCTATGGGGCTCTTTATAGCGCTCCCCTTGCGGCCAGTTTCTGGAACAGATCCCGCATGGAGTGCTCGATGGAGCCGTCCCTGCTCTGTTTTACGGCCGTGGCTGTTTCCCCCGTCGCCTGGTCTATACAGATCCCTATGTACTTCCACTCAAACCCCATGATGTGACCTTTGAAGGACCACTTGACGATTTTTCCATTTCCTCGATCAAACTAAATACATGTATGATTGATACGATTGAATAAATATCCGGTACTTACACATGTATACGATATTACGTTAACACTGTCATTCTATGTTATATATAGATATAGGGAACAAATTATGCTTAAATATCATAAAAAACAATTTATTATATTTTGATATTTTACATATGAATTAATGTATTCATGATTTTTTTTTAAGCAATGCGCATGAAATACGTTCTTCTGCTTTCTATACATAATAAAATTACTTGTGATATGTAAATTGTCTGTTTCTAAAGCATGTATTCGTTAACATGTTTAAATGAAGGTGGAATTTTAAGAAAAAAAGGGCTAATGGTTGAAAGCTGTAAAGAACTAAAAACAATATTTTTTTACCTGTCCTTCGCCATTTGTTCCTAAAGCACCTGCCAGACTCTGGGCGCCACTCAGGAAACTTGTGAATTTATCCATTATTACCGTCTAACAAAATAAGCATATTATCATAAATATTGTGAAAAAAATGTGTAATTTTCCCAAAAGATGAAGAAGAATTAAAGCCGCAAGACTATTCATCTATGTCCATCGGAAACGAAAATTCTTGTAGGAAGGTTCCTACTTGGAATTCAGACATTAGAGTTTTTTAAGGAGTAAGGATTTTTTCTTGTTTACGATTAACGTGAACAGAAAGGGGACCAATTAAAAACCATTAAAATTTGTGATTTTCGAACAGCCATATTAAAATGCTGAAAAATGGATTTTAGTATTCACCAAAAGAAAAGACTATGTTTTTTTAACAATTTACTTTAAATATGTGTTGAATGTATAAATTATTGTCAGTGAAAATTATTTTTTAAAAGTAATTTTTCAACATCAGAAAAAAATGTATCATAAAATAAATTCTCAATAATATTTGGAACACTGTAATTAAATATTTAATGAAATGAATAAATTGACAGAGTGGTAAATGAAACTGACCTGAGTAAAAGCCGACTTTTAAGGATTCAATGTACGTACAATGGCTATATAAGAGTTCGCTTGTAGTGGTCATTTGTAGAGTCCTATTTATATACATGGTCAGTGTGGTATTTAAAAATTCAGAATTTCCAAATGCTATTTAAAGACCTTCGGACAACTTATTTATTTTCTTTTTTTAGACAATTTCATCAACGGATTCTCGTGGTCATTTTTCTTTCTCTCTCGAATGAAGCGAAAGCAAACATCACTGTTTGAATTTAAATCTGAAATAAATTTATGTATTTTTATGCTCATAGGCAAGCTCACCGCAGCTTGTTTTTGCTAATTTTGTATAAGTCAAATAAAACACTAAAATATGATAGTGTCTGATCTCCCAAAACTGACTAGAAAAAGTATCTGTAATACAAGACAATCAAAACAACATATGAAAAAGTTAGCAAAAAGATGGCACATCAAAACAAAATAGGCCAAGAGAAGGGAATCCAAAAATCATATAAAAAAAACTTAGCAAAAAGATGGCACATGAAAACAAAATAGGCCAAGGATAGTAGTGAAAAAACATACATGTACATAAAAAACTATATATAAACAAAATAAATCAGAACCAATCAAATATGATTTTACATGACACATTATTACCCATTTTAAGGGGTAGGAATGCAGGTGTGGAGAAGGGTCTTCAACTAGACGTGCCTGATGTTAACGTGGTCAGCATGCGGGTTATCACAATACAACTGATGATTTGCTGTGCTGACCACGTGACCTAACACCTATCATGTGTAATCCATCAACCAAGGCGTGTATGTAAGAATTTTCACAAGTTACCAAAATTAATCCTACCGGAAACCTCCAACTAAGTTATCGCATTCAATATATAAATTACAATTATTATTCTAAAAAATGTTGTTTTATGTATTCTTATGCTCATAGGCAAGCTCACCGCAGCTTGTTTTTGCTAATTTTGTATAAGTCAAATAAAACACTTTCATAGAGATGGATAATGTCATTTATTAAAATGACGGTATAAATGTGAACAATTTAACAAACAAGAAGGGGATCAGATTCACAAGCTTTGACTAGCAGTTACATAAAATATGATAATGTCTGATCTCCCAAAACTGACAAGAAAAAGTATCTGTAATACAAGACAATCAAAACATCATATCGAAAAGTTAGCAAAAAGATGGCACATCAAAACAAAATAGGCCACAAGATGTGACATGCATGTCACATTCATGTTAGATTTGACATGCAGATCCCAGAAATTAATTATTTTGTTTTTGTTTCTTTATCAATTATTTCTGGCCTCTTATGAAGTACCTATTGCAAAATTTATATTTAATGTAGGCTTGTTCATATGATTGTATGAAACTTACATTTACTGTTTTATATTTTTGTAAAAGTTAAGCAGCATGAAAACATTGAAGGACCTTATCATTTTTCCAATAATCTTTAAAGAATAGGTGGCTTGTTATATGCATTCAAAATATATTGATAAAAGTAAATGAATATAGCCATAAGAAATTTTTAAAGTCGACATATTGGTTTGCTTGTAATTATTTTCTGTTTGCTGAATTTTATACTTTCGCAGTGTATTAGCACAGTAGAAACCCTTCGTTTTCAATATAAGAAAATAAGGACACTTTCGTATAATTATTTTAGTTTCAAAGTATATTATAAGAATTATTTGCTTCTTTCTTGTTTCTCGATAGTTATCGACTTACGATCCTTTTTTTTCACATTTTCCATCCACTCTAAAAATAGCACACACTCTGATAACACTCTAACTGAAAATCAATTATACTGCGAAAATGTACAATCATATAATAGAGAATTTGTATTTTAAAACTCAAAATTAACTAAAAAAAAAGCCTTAAGCGATTTAAATACTTGCCAGATTTATCGCCCTTACACTATATTTTTAACACATGGCGTTACACATGCATCTAAAAAATTAACTTCGGGGTCACTTGGATCTCCCCGGGTTGTTGTACATGTACTTCAGACACTAAACGCGGACGTCAAAGATGTTTTGATTCAGTAATGTGATCTTATTATACCCCCGCTTGAAAAGCGGGAGGGTATATAGTAATCTTTAATTCTGAACGTCCGCCCGTTTGTACGTCCTTCCGTCTGTCCGTCAGTCTGTTACGCTTTGGGATACCTATCTCTTATTCGCAACTCCTCTCATACCACTGAATGAAATTTGATGAAACTTTTAAAGAATATTTATTACATATTGCCGTTGTGCACCTCCTATTTTACGTTTTGATCCGACACATATTTTGGGTTCCCCGGCTACAGGAAAACTTGGACTTTTTTACCAGTTATAACCATTTGGGAAGCGGGGGATATCATTTAGTGAACTCATCGCTCACAGTACCTCTAGTTTTAATTTCATTCAAATGAGATGCTTTTGAAATCCGATTTACTTTGTATATACATGTAAGTAGGATATGCACGTATTTACGAAAAGTTCACAAATAATTAAAAGATTGAATAGAAGAAAGGGTTGTAGTCGGTCTCTCACCAGACATATAAAAGCAAACTTTTTTTCGGATTGGTGACCAAAGGCACTGTTTATAAATGAAATTCATGGGGTCTTTTGTTGATACCTTCAAAATTAAAGTCCTGTTTCTCGAAGAAAATTGGTACGAAACTTTGGAAACTGCACGTAATGTGATATTTTTTTCAACACGTATGTATCAATGTTTGTAGAATAGAATGTAACTAAATAAATTGCTATTTTTATTCCACAATTGAACACAAGAAATAAAAGTTGCAGTAGTGTATATTAATTTGTGCAAGGTTAATGTTGATAAAGGACCTGCCAAAATTCCTTTATCTTTATCTTTAATTATCTTTATCTTTAATTTGATTGATTGTTTGTACAGAACCGAATTGATGCCAGTTGGACACTTTATTTTATTTAAATGTGTATACTTTAACTCGTTAATTTTGAACTTAAGAATTTAAAATTTACACTTTAATCCATGATATTTACATTGTAATCTATAGATTTTACACTTTATCGGTTTAATTCACACTTTAGTCAATTGAGGAATTTTATACATTTTAAGTAACACATTTTAGAGCCAGAAAACCATGAATCCTGCATTATAAAATCTAATTCTTTGTTGTTGTTTTTTTTTTCTTTTACAATAAATGTGTATAATACGCAAATTAGAATACCTGATGCAACAACGTTAACAACGTTAACGTTCTTAAAATATAAATCAAGAGCACGTAAAACATACAAGCATATGTTCTGAATGTTACTGATATTGATATCGTCATATGCCAGTTCTTTTTATGTGGTAAGAATTTAACTTGAGTTCCAATTATTTGAGGCATTAACCATACCTGTATTACACTGTACATGGATATCTGGTCACAATTGAATTTATGGACTTTTTCTCTTAATAATCAATTAATATATTAATAAGTAAAGCTTTTTAAGCTCACATGGTTTTTCGCATAAATGAAGATTACTTTGTTATAATGAACATGTAATATTGTGTATTCAGACAAAAAAACACATTTGAAAACAACAAATCACATTTACTTACCTCGCCATTGGTCATTTGAAAAATTATTTTGTTAAAACAGATTCTGATTGCACACAAAAGTACTCTGAAGTTGACATCAAGAAGATGCTTGAGTTTCTGATTGACAATATCTATGTGGTTTTTGGAGACCAGGTATTCCAACAATCTATTGGAATTCCTATGGGTACAAATTGCGCTCCTTTATTAGCAGACTTATTTTTATATTCATATGAAGCAGAATTTATGCAAAATCTTTTACGTGAAAAGAAGAAAACACTTGCTGTGGCCTTCAACTCGACATTTAGATATATCGAGGACGTATTGTCAATTAATAATGATAATTTCCATTTCTACATCGACACGATATATCCTGGTGAGCTTGAGATAAAAGATACCACAGAGTCCGACACTTCTGCTTCATACTTGGATATTTTACTTGAAAAAGACACTAATGGTAATCTAACAACCAAGCTACATGATAAACGTGACGACTTTAACTTTTCTATCGTCAACTTCCCTTACTTATACAGCAATATACCTTCATCACCTGCATACGGAGTATTTATATCTCAGTTGATTCGATACGCAAGAGCATGCTCTACGTATGAACAATTTCTTAAACGAGGTAAATTATTGACAAGCAAGTTGATGAAACAAGAATATCAACAGTCTCGTTTAAAGTCATCATTTCGTAAATTCTATGGTCGATACAATGACATTGTCAGCAAATACAATTTATCATTGAATGAAATGCTGACTGACGTTTTTCATACCAATTGTTAGTCCATTATTTATACACTGAATTGACCACGGATTTTTTCCGTTATTTCCTGATTATGACAACGAGCATACGGCGGGTGTGACCGGTCGGCAGGGGATGCTCACTCCTCCATGGCACCTGATCCCACCTCTGATGTTTCGGAGGTCCGTGTTTGCTCTGCTCTTATTTTGTGTATTTGTTTAATGGACGTTGAGATTGAATACTGTTCGTTATTTTCATATCCTTCATTTAAATTATTTGAGTTTTATTTCATTTACTATAACATAATTCATACAAATCAATCAGTAGAACTCTGTTATATTCTTGGCTGAAATATAACAACTATTTTCATTTGATTTTGTGATTTCTCGCCAATTCCCGGTCTCTTATTGTCATCTCTCACGAGAGATGACACATTAAGTTTGATTTCCGGATGTGAGGTCCCAGTGTAAGCAGCCATTAATACATCGGCAATCCTCGGTTGATTACCCTCGTGCGGGTCACGAACTATCCGAGGAGCACCGAGTGGTCACTTTGATGATGATGCGATTTTCTAAATATAGATACAGTAAACAATTAGCGATCAAAACTTTGAAAAAGAAAAAGGGCTGCACAGAAATCACAGAGGGTCAGACACACAGGATCGCCTGCTTGTTGTGGCATGGTGTTCAAAATATATGTACTTATTTAATCATCTACATGTAGGCTACTGCGTAAATGATCGATGCTCTGCTCCAGATGGAATATTCTAACTAGGTCAGCGCGTTGAACCAAAAATCACTAGGCGTGGATCCAAGAATTAACAGAAAACAACATCAAAGTTAATACATTTATATTTAGTACTATGAACTGCTATGAATCGATGTCGAAATCTTTTTTATGGTAGTCATTCTATAATTCAATGCCTATTTAAAAAA